GTCAGCAGTTCAAAATTACAGCTGCTCCATGGGAGAAAGATGAGACTTTCTGCTCCCATAAAGATTTACAACCTTGGAAATCCTATGCAGGGTTACTTTGAGTCTGAACCAATTCCACGCACACCACCACCACCACTACCACTATAGCACAGGAGTCCTGGTGTGGCTCTATAGATTAATGGGCTGAACTGCAAGGTCAGTCTGAACCTCAAGGTCAGTGGTTAAAACTCACCAACTGCTCCTCTGGAACTCTACAGGGTCGCTTGTGAGCTTGAACTGCCAACCTTGTGAGTGAGACTGACTTTGCAGTCCAACACATTAACCCACAGTGCCACACCAGGACTAGAAATCTGAATTCAGGCTGTTACCTCCAAGAGAAGGCTTTCTCTCTCTGTTACCTCTGTGGGAAGGTCCTTGCATCCTTTCAACATCTGTTTACCTTGTTTTCCTAGGGTATCTCCTATGTCTTTCCCTGGGTCTAGGAGGTTCTCAGCACAGGGACCCTTGGTCTAATGTATACACCCCTGCTCCTAGCTCTGCTTTCTTAGTGATAGTAGCACACCCTCCCCTCCACCCCAATCTCAACCCCACACACACATATTTCTCTGCTTCCTTCTTTCTCCTCTTATTTTACAAATGACAAAAGGAAATACAGGGAACACCTCAGGGAAACTCCTCTGAGATCAGATCTGTGATCTGAGTGAGAGTGTGGCATCCCAATTTAGTCCACAAACAACAGATTAACTGAGAACTAACAACTAGGTCAAATCATAGGAGATGATTATATCATTACTTAACTGCCAAACCACTGAGAATCATGGTCCAGCCATGTTGACACATATTCTGTTGTTTTTAGGTGCCATCAAGTCAACCACACCCATAACAACCTTATATACAACAGAACAAAACACTGCCTGGTCCTGCACCATCCTCACAATTGTTATGCTTGAGTCTACTGCTACAGTCACTGTGTTAATTCATATTTTTGGGAAGCATAATTCAATCCAAGATAGAGCTGTCATTCGATTTGCCAATGTGGCAGGAGCTACGGGCTGTGATAGAGAGAAGATAAGTGATACTAAAAATATCAAGCAAGGAAATTAAAGTTTTAATATAATGATTTCATTAACACGATAGATACCTCTGCATATGTACCCTATTTTTAACAATAATGACTCATATAAGAATCCATGCTTAAAGAATGGATGAATCATTATGATTACTTTTATATTACCTAAGAATTTATTCCATTAAAATAAGGATGCTCCCAGGGTTTTTTTTTTAAGATAGTATAGCCCATCACTCTATGAATCAAGTTGTTGTTAGTGATCCCTAGCTGTTTATAGAGGGAATAAAGGGGTGGGAAACTGCAGAGAAACATAAAGCTAAATATTAGTTGTTGCTGTTAAGTACCGTAGAGTAATTTCTGACTCATAGTGATTCTGCATAGCTTTCTGAGGAGTGGCTGGTGGATTTGAACCCCTGGCCTTGTGGTTAAAAGTCCAGTGCTTATCCTACAATGCCAAACCATGACTTTTAGATATTGCTAAAAACCACTAATCATCTGCAAGTTTGATGTAAAATGATGGATTGCATGTTACTATTATGCTGAAATCTATACCACTGGTATTTCACCATTACTTACTGAAAACAAAAAATAACTTGAAACACTTATGAAAATCAAAGAGTATACCTTTCAATATGGATTACATCACAACTAAGAAAACAAAAAAATCCTCACAACTGGACAAAAAAAATAGTATCATGATAAATGGAGAAAAGATTGAAGTGGTCAAGAGTTTCATTTAACTTGGATCCACAATTCATACTCATGAAACAGCAGTCAAGAAATCAATTGCATAGGGCAAAGCTGCCACAAAGACCTTTTTAAAGGGTTAAAAACAAAG